GTGGGGCATAACCACTAACAACATTACAGTAATCATCACTCCTTCTATTTCTACCTTCACACACATCAACCTGTCTGACTCTCGTTTCACCTCTACCACATTTCTTGCATATTCTTCCTTTAGAATCACCCCTACTCCATTTCTGTTCCCATCTGAACCATGATAAAACAGTTTGTAGCCTCCTCCAATGTTTCTAGCCTTGCTGCACTTCCACCTGGTCTCCTGCACACACAAAATATCTACTCTTCTTCTCTCCATCACAGCAGCTATTTCTCTACTTTTCCCTGTCATTGTACCTACATTCAGAGTTCCAAACTTCAGACTAAGACTTCTATTCTTCATCTTTTCTCTTTTTCTCCTAACCAAACGCCCTCCTCTTCTTCTCTGTCTCTGACTCTGTCTCTGACCAACAGTAGTCCAATTTCCATCAGTGCCCTGTTGGTCAACGGCACTGTTGGCGGTCGTTGTTAACCCGGGCCTCGACCGATCCGGTATAGAAATCGTTTTATTGATCTGCATATTTGATTTAGCTAAACGTTTTACGCCGGATGCCCTTCCTGACGCAACCCTCACCATTTATCCGGGCTTGGGACCGGCACTATAAACACGGCTTCGTGTACCCTAGTGGCTGGCTTAACAGTGACCTGAACTGTCCGTGTAAATACACCGTCTGCCGTGTTTCTCTGCCGTCAATGAAAAAACGAATTCAATGTGAAGGAGGAACAGGCCGCTATTTTCCAACGGAATGTGAAAATCCAGATCAGATTTACTGATGGAATTCTCAAAGTATTTGTTCTTGTTCATTTCTAGGTTTTACTTTACGATAACTTTGGATTGGCTCCAATCAGTTGACAAACCTCCAGGGGGCGCTTAAAATAATGACATGTTCTCCTCGCAGGCACATAAATCTACACACAGCCACAGTGTAGCCACGTCATGAGGTGTTGTATATTCTACATGCACCTCTTCCTCCACACACTTTGTTTCCCCATTTCAGGCAGGTTGTGTCAATTACAGCACCAAAGTAAATGGGGGCAGGGATTCCAGCTGTGTAACAATTCAAACAGACTTTGTATTAATAAATACTGTTTAGAACTAATAAAGAAGCTAATAATTGCCGTTGCCCTTCCAAATGAATATTTCTATGTCACTAACTGTACAGTATTGTGCTATATGTAAGTATCATTCTCACCAAGTGTGCGAGTGGCCAGTGTGTGGATTCCCAGGGCAAAAGATTTCAGCTCAGGCTGTATAAACCTTTGAAAACAGACACATACAAATTCTAACATTCAATACATCAGTGATTTCCAACCACTGTGCCTCACATTAGTGTGCTGTGAGAGCATCAGGTGTGCCAAGGAGTTTAACTTAAATGGTCTGACAATTATTATTCATTTACAAATGATTAGTCTTTGTTTGTTTATGCTGGTGTTAAAGGCAGAACATTTAGATTCTCCCCAAATGATTGGCAGCAGATAACTATAAAAACAAAAAACAGAGGGACCCAGAGCTGCTGAAGAAGTATCTTTGTGTGTCTTTCTTCAATTCCAGTGTGTATATATCAGTGCTATGTTCAACTAAACAGTCTGGTGTTTAATACTGCGTATGTAAATTGTGAATTAATTTATACTAAATGTCTTAAAAAAGGTTGAGAAACACTGCAATATGTGAAGCTCACAAGAGAAGGACAATTATTGACTTTTTTAAAAATAGAAACATGAATGCAAAAATATCTGTCTTCAAAAACTAGGTAAAAGTAATAGCATGTGAAAACTATCAAGTGATTCCACTGATACAGACCTGATGAGTAGCACAAAGCCAGGTGTCCCTCCAAGAGAAATAATGAAGGAGCTGAGGACAGACAAAGCCAGGAAGTATGGAAAGATTTTGTCACAGCTGTCACTGCGGGGACACTGACCCAAAACGACTGTCAAATTGCCTGGTTGAGGGTTAGCCAGGGGCAAACACCTACAGTTGTTAAAAACCTAAAGAATGAAGAATGTTGTGATATCAGTGACTCACAAGCTTCAGCAGTGTATACAGTATTACAAAAGTGGTTGTATAAATTTTTCTACGGTTAAACTAAATTTAAAATTCATTGATCGCAAACTGGGGAAATTGTTGAAAATATTATTTTTCCTGTGCTCAAACATCTACATCTCAGTTAACAGCCAAATGGGCTAACAAAGTGCACCACAGAGAATTAGTGTAACTTGAACCTTGAACTGTTTATAGTTTAAAACCAAAGCAGTATCAAAATGAACTAACCATATTTTTTCCAGAGCCAGAGAAGGAGGTGCATCCAGCCAAGCACGGGGAAACATAAGTTATTCCATTCTGTCCACATACTGGATCCCACTCTCTTCCCGAGCACAAACAATTAGAGTTACAGTTGGAGAAGAGAGATTTTTCCTGATAAGAAACTCCTTCCACGCTGCATGTGACAAGATTAAATCCATAAATTATTGATAGCTCTTGTGGAAATCAACATCTAATTATCCAGCACAGACAAACCTTGTTGAACGAATAATCTTACCCAGCATATGAAAGAGTGATGCCTGCCACTTTGGCGTTGTCACAGCCCATGGCAAAGAAAAAGAGAGACAGGAAGTATCCCAGCAAAGAGGTTCCAAAGGCAAACTTGGCTGCACCCATGACACCCAAGTTAAACTTCATCATGACAACACCTCCAGAGAACATTCCAAGAGCTACAGCCGGGATGTTGATAACACCTTGAGAAGAAAATAAAGAAAAGAAATTTTGCTAGTTGAGAGAACGGAAAAATATCAAAATGACAACACATTTATGCTTGTTTTCTAGCACTTACACACACAATAATCCATAATCCTTGTTTCTTTAAGTACTTTATCAGCAGCACCACCCACAATACAGTATGGGAGAAATTACCATATCATAAATCAAGTGACACAAACTATATGAACCTGTTATACATTTAGTTACAAGTAACATTACCTTGGAATAAACCTTCATTCCATCTAAGGTGTTTTCACAGGTGGAGATACTTCTTTACTAACTTTACTGTTACAACCTGATTGGTACATCTCTTTTTATGAAAACTATTAAATTACTACTGGAAATAAATTGTATTCATTGGTCATGTGACAGTGACAGGTCAAAATATTACATACCCCACCACTACATAGCTACAAAAAATAGAAGAGCTTCATGTTTGCTTTTCATCAATTCCTGCAGGTATATCAGGATAGTGTTCCACTAAATAGGCACAGGTTTCACGTTGAGTGAGAAAATAGTGAGTCAATTTAAAATATATATAAATATCTGTGTGTTGTTTAATAAATTGTTAGGGTCATTTTTGTCTGACGGTGAACCATGGGATATGTGTGGTGGCTGAAAAGAGTTTGTGCTCCTCTGCTGTAGAGCAGTGAAACCCACAGCTCATTGGTCATTAACAACTTCTGTGCATATGGATTGAAAGCCTTTGATAAAAATAACCAATTTTTAAAACAATCAGGGGTATTGCATTATTGTCTATATAACAAACAAAAACAGGAAATAAAAATATTGCAGTAACAGAAAAGATGTAAACTATACTGTCTATTTTGTAGGTTTTGCTGCAGTCTCTCTCGCTCTCAGTCTTCCAAAATAATACTCAGGAGACCTTATTAAAATAACTTGTATGTGAATAGAATTAGAGAATTAGAAGAAGAAAATAATTGACTTACCCATTAGAAAATTTGCTTTTGATGCTGACTGTCCATAGTGCTGCTCAATATATTTGGGTTTGTAGGTGACCATCCCAATGAGAGAGTTGAACTGTATGATGGTCACGAGCAAGTAGATGATGAAGAATTGATTTTTAAGAAGTCTCTTCAGTGTGGGCATGAATTCTGCATGACAGAGGATAAAAAAGAAATGAATCAGGGTCAGGCACATGATTAGAATATTACCCAACCCCCTTAAGGATATGTCTTTTAAGTTTAATGAACACATATTTTCATTTACCATATTCAATTATGAGTGTGAGTAATTCACACTTCTGGTCTAGACATGAAACAGTTCTCAGTTCAGATTATTACATAATGAGATTTGGGTTTTTTTTAACATTTTTCTCATACCCTTGGCCATCTGATGTAAATTAGCTGGCTCCTCGCATCTGAACTTCAAGCCAGGGGAGTCTTTGATGAACCTTGTTTGCTCTGGTGTGCAGCTGGTGTCATGTTTCTCCACAGGCACTGGCAGTGATTTGGGAAGGAACCAGAAAGGAACAGCAGCCATGAGAGTGATGATGCCAGCGATGATGTAGCCCAACCACCACGCTCCAACCCAGCGGGCATCACTTGGAGTGATATTCACAGTCTCTGTAAAAAAAAAAAAAGAAAAATGACAACAACTTTGCTATTTCAAAGTCAAATACCTTGTAATTGTCAGTAGTTCCAACTGATCAAACCATTATAAATATATTGTTGGCATTACACATACAGAAAGACATATATATATATATATATATAGGGATGTACATACAGTAATAGCTTGAGATATATATATATATATATATCTCAAGCTATTACTGTATGTACATCCCTATATATATATATATATATAGGGATGTACATACAGTAATAGCTTGAGATATGAGCATAATCTGTTCCAGGACCAAGCTTGTACCTCAGGTGCTTGTATCTCAAATCATTTTCTCCCCATAAGAAATAACAGAAAAACCAAATGTATCCGTTCCGGCCCTCTAAAAATCTCCCTTATTAGTGCTAATAACATTGGAAAAAACGTGTATTTAATTGCTATAGAGATATTAAAAAAGAGACATTTAAAAAAATTAATAAATTAAAATTAATATATAACGATTCCTGTGACATTAAATAAAATGTGGTTTTAATTATGAGTTCTTACATTCGAGACAGACGATACAGTAGCACCTAATGGAGGCATAATAAAGAAACTTAAACTTAAACTTAACTTCCGTAATCGCCACGGCAACACTGCCCCACTATATAGGTATCGGTTTATATCGGTGTTTAGACATTATCAGCAGATCGGATATCTGCAAAAAGTTAATATCAGACATCCCTAATATATATATATACATATAGATGGTATAAATGCCAGATACACCATGAGCAGTCAGACTGAGGGCTCAGGAATGGATTTTGAAACAGATTCAAACCACTTGTACTCACCCTCGTCCACATAGCCAATGTCAACATAGATCTTGGCACAGAGTGACCCGAGTAAGTACCCAAAGACAGGACCGATGATTGATATTGTTTGGACACAACCTGTGAAAAAACAAACTTAGCTAAATTATTAAGGAGAGATTCATTTTGACAAGGCACCACAGAAGTAAGTTCTCCTTATTAGTTTGTGTATGTAGGCGCCAATTTTTTCTTCTAGTAGGGGAAATTGTGCAGCAGGTATAAAAAAAAAAGAAAGGTGATAAGAATAAAAAGAGGGGAAGGAAGGGGAAGACAAAAAAGAAGAACAAAACTAAGACAAAAAGATTAAGAAAACATTGGCTATGATGACGAAGAAGAAAACAATAAGAAAGAAGAAGACAAAGACGAAGATGAAGATTAAAAGAAATACAGAGTTGTATGTAAAGTTGTATTTGGAGAAAACAAAACAAACAAAAAAAAAATCACAAAAAGCATGCATCTTATCATGCAATCTAAAACAACTAGTCAGTCATGTGCTTCACCAATATAGAGGGCAGCATTCTTCGACTCTGCATAATCATCAATGTAGGAGATTCCCAGTGGTTGTATTGGAGTCTCTCCGATCCCACGCAGTACATTTCCCAAAAACACGTAGACCAGCATGGAAACACTGGATTCTCGTACACAACCTAAAATCAGTCGTAGAAAAGGTAAGAGTCAAGTGGTTTGTTACTCAGTGAAACGAAACCTTTGACTAATAACTGGACTGCTTGATCTTACTTCTGGATTGCAGTACAGACGGTCTGTCGGCCACACTCATGGACTCAGGTGAGCTTACTGGACATGGTGAGAGGTTGCTGGTTGAATTCACTGAAGATCTAGCAGATGTTTCAATCTTGTAGCTGCAAACAAAACACCAACGGGAGAAAGTATTGGGTATTGTTAGATACTAAGCATAAAATACTCCTTTGGTGACCACAACGGAACATGACGTTTCACCGTGCCTACCGGCCGCTGATGAAGTGTGGCATGGCCATCAGGAAGGTTCCCAATGACATCAGGACACATCCAACTGCTATGATTTTGGGACGGTGAAGTTTGGCACCAAAGTAGCTCACAAAGGCAATTACCAATAAATTCCCTGATGACAAAAATAGATGACAAAACAAATACAATGGTTGAATTATTCGTTCGTAAAGTGCGTTTACATCCACTGAAATAAAATGTCAAAAAGACTGACAATGCAAGTATTTATTCGATTCCAAAACCATCAGGTCAAACAGATGTGTCCTTCAATACTAAATATTGATAACACATCTGAGGTTAGATACAGCCCAAAGCAAACACCGGTTCAACGTGAGTACAGGCAAAGTAAATGCTAATATTTTGGTTTATTCGAAATTACCTTAAAATTACTGTCCCACTACTCAGCTGTTAAACTGGTTCCTCGTTGAATTTTCAAATTCAGCTTCTATTAAAGATATAATTTTGGATTTTATAGACTTTTAAACTGGTTTGTAAATGTATTAAGTCACTTTGTGAATGTTTAGTAGAATTTACTCAACACATACTAATTATTTCACCAAGTAGAGCTTTTTAAAATACTAATACAAAAATTGAACACTATTGCTACTACTATATTATACTATAATAATAATAGAGGGACAGAGTGACTCACCCACTTCAAAGCTCCCATCAATGATACCAATCAGATAACTCGAGATGTCAAACCGCCTTTCCAGTTGTGTTATTGTGCTCTTCATGTAGCTGCCAGATAAAGCCTTCGCAAAGTAGGAAAAAGACAAGGCTGCTAGGAAAATCTGAGAAAAGACAAGAGAAAAGAGAGAGAATTGTGAGAAAATACGTTTTTTGTTTTTTTTTTAAACCCACAAAATCAGCAATTTTTTCATGTGCATGTGCTTTATATCTATAACACAGAATTCAAAGAGCAAACATCTTTATTTAATACGAGCACCAGAGCCTGACGTGTGGGTGTATTGAACATTCTCTTCGTTTAGCTTAGCCACATGTGGCCAGTGACAAAGAGAGGATTAGAGAAACCAATCTATATGTATGTGAGCTGTCAGAAAACAGCAGGAAACATGACGGAGAAAGAGCAGAGTCCAAATAGAACTCACAGGTTGATGATCAAGAAACAAGTAGACTACATTAAAAATATATATATACATTTTTCAATTATGATATGAACTGTAAAAAATAAAAAATAAAATAATAATAGTATTTTTTTAAAAATCTAATAGTGTCACTGTAAAAAGTCAACAATGAAAAAGAAATTTGGCTCAACAAAGGCAAGAAAACAAAAGTTACTAAATAAGCTTTACATTCAAATATGATCTTGTATTTAGAATATTCTGCTCACCTTTTCCTTTGAGGTATTTCAGATTAAAGGATTCCTTTTCAAATCCCACCAAAGCAACAAGATCAATGTCTTAAATTTAGGATTTGGACGAAATCAGTTTTGCCTTTCAGTGCTATTTGTTTAAAACATTTGTGAAGATTATTTGGATAAATATTAAAAAAGACTATTTTTTACAGCAGTTTTTACAGGACTGGACCCACACTTCTTCAGCCTCAACAATGACAGCAGCCCCAAACAGTTCTGTTTATCAGCTATGATCTTGAATGTAAAATTGAAGAATACACAAAGATATTTAAGGACAACGGGAGGCAAAATGTGAACTTGACCATTCTGCTCTCATAGGATTGCTTTGTTACAGTTGAGCTGAGCTAAATAAAACTAGGCCACGTAGAGTAACTAGGTCTTTGTTGAAATACATTTACCTCACTCACTGTATGTTGTGACCTAACCTTCTTTTTTTTTTGTGGTGAAAATGGTCAGTTCACAAAAACACTGCATGTGGCCAAATTCCTGAACAGAACCCTTTCTACCATGGACATGACCTAAAGTAATCTTTCCAAAGTACAGATTATACTTTTCTTTCACTGGTGAACTTGTCTGACCTTTCACTGATGTACAGCATCCCAACAATACAGTGTAACTGGTCATCCATGACCATCCAAGTACAGTACCAAGTCAATGAAAGTGGAGCTGGTATGTAGTGGTCCCTTGAGCTGCATGAAGGATGACCTTTGGTTTCAGGTGTAAAACTTTTTACTTTCATTCTAGATGAATATTAATACTAGGTTCAAATGAGGCCAATGACACACCTATACAAGAACTATGGTTACATTCATACTTCTACAACCAGCATCATGAAGAATTATTCTGTCCCAGTAACCTACATAAAAGTACTAACACACATGAAAACCTGCATCACACAACCATTTAAGTACATGGCCTTGACAGTGACTTGCATAGCGCCACCCTTCACCTCAAAAAGGCAAAATGATATTTTACACAAAGTGGGTGTCCAGTAGTAGTACGTAGAACTAAAGATTCCGCTGGGATAAGAGGGGGAACATTTTTATAGAAACCACAGACAGTTCAGATTCCTGCTCCTAAACATCTTAGGATAAAGTGAACTGGATGAAGCAGAAGCTTCACACACCTGGTCCAGCTGTCAGTTGGACACAATGTCCAGTCATCTCCTGTCATTATTTAATTTGTTCTGGAGTGCTATCACAATTTGTAAACAAATAATCCGTCCATCCATCCATCCTACCCATCCAACATTCATCTAATCATCTTTTTAATCATCCAACCATCAAGTCATCCAATCATCCTACAAACTCCATACACCAATGGAATATGGTACGCTGAAGTGTACCACTGCTCTAAGCCATGAGTGCTATTTATTCATTTAAATTACTTTTTTTAATTTACCATGAAAAAAATGAATACATATGCTTTTATTAACATGAACCTACTGATGTTAAAAAGAAATGTTATTAAGGAAATTGTGTCAGAACTTTTACTCAGTGAGTCGACTGCAAAAAGTTCCCCTTTAAAAGAACGCAGAACAGACGTGCCTACAGAAGCAGGGATTTGGTGAAGCAAACGCACCCTGTGACCCTAACTTGTTAATGCACATGTGACTCAAGTCAGAGTTGTTTTTCAGCCAGTCAGATGACGTTTCCCTCACGGCCACTCCTTTCAGGCAGATTTACACGTTTTTTCTCTAATATGTTTTCCCAACTACAGTAAGCCATGAAATTTTCTTTCCCCCACTTTTTGCAATTTAAATAAAAGAAAAAAATGTTTTGTATTTGATAGGGTTTTCTAAGAAAACAAATGCTGTTGACATCCTCAGACACATATGCACTGCAGAGACTCACACTCCTCTCCATTACCTTTAAGTTGGGATGACAGGAGTTCTTCACCTCAGAGGAGATCAGGTTGTTGTCCAGAGGCCAGCTGCCTGTGACAGATTTGTCCTTTTTCTTCATGGCAGCGTCTCACTTTCTCTTCAGCTGGAGAGAGAGGTGACCCAAAAAGATCTGGTTAAGACGATGTATCAAGAGGGAGCTTTCAGACACAACTAGTCTCCCTCACACAATCACATCATGCAAAGTCAACAGTTCAAACTACTATTCTGGATCTGCAGCAGCATCCACAACTTAGAATCTGTAACACGTGAAGAGGAAATCCTATCAAAACGTGTTTTCATGTTGTTGACACACCCACCACTTGGAGTTTTAGGAAATGACCATTTCAAAACATGTCATTTTGCATTTTCTTTTAACAGAATAATCTATTAAGAAAACACTACAAAAAAGAGAATACCAAATAGATCTTATTGTAAATGCAAAGGTCAACTATGAGACGAGAGAGAACTCAATGTACAAGAACCGGAACGAGTACAGTATGGATTCAGTTAGGTGTAAACTATAATAAGAAGGATTAATCACAGTTGGGAGCTCAATTTAAACTACTTGTGTTGACCTATAACTGTTCATTTACTTCTACTGTGATGCAAGTTAAAGGGACAATTGTGGGTGACCAGAAATATTATTGTTCAACAAGGGGTTGATCCATGAGCTGCTTGGAAACAGTGAACAGCTGGTACTACAAATGTTATATGTTTAAAACATGGAGAGAAGCCAAGCTTATTGGGCATAAAATCACAAATTCAAAAAATAAAATCAAATGTGTACTCCTAATACGCAAATAAACAATGGCTACTTTTGAAATATGTTACATTTAACCTTTAACTCGGTTAAATTATAATCCTGAAATCCAGTCTAATTAATAAATGCATACTGCGTCTGAACAGAAAGAACACCATGATACTTACAGCAACGTCTGTGTCTTTGTGCTGCTCACGGTCTCCACGACAAGTTCCCCGCAGTTACAAAAACAAACAAACATTTATCCTACACTTGCAGTTCGAGCGACTTTGGGGAGCAGTGAAGGGTGTGTGTCTGTCCGCACGGCTCGTAGAGAGCAGCGTGACTGTGCTGTACAGCAGCAGAGCAGATACTGAACATCATGTTCACACTGAGACAGACACAACACGTGATGAGTGAACTCGACACAGAGTCACAGACCACCTTCAGTCGGCTTTGACACGCTCACACCTGCCGTGGGCACACAGACTAAAAAACACAGACGACTACAGCGCGTAGATGCAACACGAAGAATATTTACCTTTCACTCAAGGGATTATGTGGAGAAATCCACCAGACACGCAGTTTGTCATGCGTTTGTCGCCGCGTCTTGTAATCACTTTATGCAAATACTACTGTGAATCACGGTGTCTGCGTCTGCCTTCACTGATGACTCATGTATAAAACTAAATAAAAACATAGAACATACAGAGTCTGCTGCACGGTGACAGCGTCCGTTCATTCACGAAGTGCAGACAGGGAAGAAGTTCGTCTGAGGTTGGATACTTTACGCAAGGGCTTTTAGGGAACATCAATAAGTTCCCAGAAGAAATAGTCCTGAAAACTAGTGTCCCTTGAGTCAAACCACCTTCATTAATGACAAAGCTAAAATATTAAATGAGCTATTTGCGAAAAACAATTAAGTCCAGCACTGGACTGTTTTTAAGGAACATGAAATGAATAAAAATTGTAAACCCAACCATTATTAATTATTACTATTATAAATAGTTAAAATGTACAGTAAATGTTAACAGATAAAGAACCTGCTATAAGATTAAAAACAATATTCGTTTTCTAAATTTCTAACATCATAACATGAACAACAGCACATCATCAATAGAACCACTGACTACTGCACCATCGTACACCATCATATGAAGGTGATATACAGCGTGGATCACACAAATTAAACACAAACACCAGGATACCACAGGAATTATAGTCTTATTATTCAATGTATTCACATTACAACATCCACATTGTTCAGTTGGTGACAACCTCTACTGATCTTCAAATATACTGACTGTATAATACATAATACCAATATAGGCACTTCCAGTAAATCTGGCAATATTGCAGCTACAGTATAGTGTCTAAATTACAAAATGATAAAAATAAATAATGTATACCTAAAACCGTTTTTGTAGTTTTAAAATTTCTTCACTGTACAGTATATATGTGTATTGTACAAAATGGAGCATCGACCTGCAAAGGAATTCTGTCACCTTAACAAATACAATGTATTTGGAAATATTCTTTCTTGTGTAGGTATAAGTACATGTGATAAGTGCAAGGTACTAGTGAGAAGAAAGCAATTAATTTATTTACCATGTGTCAACTATATAAAAATACTCGTCTTATTTTGTGTTTACATAATTGTAAAGCTTGTTTGGCTCCTATTTTACAATTATGCTACAAAGGGTGAAATAGGTACGATAATTAAGTTTAAAATAATTATGACGTAAAAGCAAGTAGGCCTCAGCCTGCTGTCATCTGGGAGCAAAATGCAGTATAAAGAACCAATATATATGAATTCTTTTTTCTTTTACAATTCAGAAGTCCAACAGGCAGAACATACACGGCAGAGGAAACACAAGGACTATAATGTGCTATAAGGATGGAAGAACACCACTCATTTAACATGTGTAACCATGGACTGTGAATAAGAAATGGAAAGAAAAAAAAAATCAGGTGCAAACTATGATTAAAAGTTAACCCCTGAAAGGAGGAGAGAGGAACTACACTGGTTTGGAAAAAATTAAGTAAGTGCAACAACAAGACTATTTCTTATTTAATTAAAAAGTCTAGACTTGTTTGAGGCATTTTGTTTAGGAACATGCCATTAATTCTAAACTCATTTAGAAGGAAATACTGGCAAAATCCTGTAGTTAGGGCAAATGAGTGGACACTGTAGCCTGCAAACAGGAATTATCTGCATGCCCATAGTTCTCTGTCGAATTCTATCGTCTGTTAATAATATAATGGGATTACATTTTTTAAAGACTTTAAATTTTTGACATCAGTTCCAATAAAAAAAGTAAAACTAGTGATGAGGACAAATGTCTTTGGGTCATTTCTTTTTGATTTACAAATAAAAAAATGATGTCGTCACAATTTTCCATACATTTCCATTCATGAGCTGCTACTTTCAAGACCAATGGAGCACTTTTGGTCTTTTAGAGTTTTTCAGCTGTACATTTACATGTACATGTATGTCTTTTAATTTTTTTCAAAAGTGCTTTTGGACCACAGCAGGTCTGTTAGAGAACATGGCCACAATAGAACAGTCTAAACATTTATCTCTCACACATTGCATACTGTTTTTATAGCACTGTTAAATCAGCAGCTAAAACATAAAGCAATGCTACTGTGTCTTTACTGTAATATTAATGATAAGTCATTAGCGACACGTGTTGGCCAAATACAGAAAGGTCAGCAGACATATTGTGAGTAAATACAATAGTTATTGCCACACATAACGACTGGAAGCCAAAACCATTTTAACCATGTTAACTGGAAAGCTCAGTGAAGGACACAAAGACATGATGCTCATAACATTCATCAGCCAAAGTAAGGTTTAGTCACATCGTCCCTAGAGGGATATAGCATCATGAGCTGTTATGTTGTGTTTGGAGACCAGTAGGTTGATTGTTGTGGAAAGGTTCCAAAGATTAAATCAGCAGTAGCTTTTGTGCTGCATGCAGATGTGTATGTAGGTCATAAGAGCTAAACATGAGCACGGGACGATTCCTTGAATCGTCGTGAATAATTCATACTTTTTGCCTTGTCTGTCTGCACATTTAGATGGCAGGAAGCAGATGTGACAACCCAGTGAAAATAATTCACCAATTAAAGATAGAGTTCCCTCCTGGTTTATCCTGCACTGTTTCTACTTACTATAAAGTACAGCAGTATCCTCATTGACATTAATGTGAAGAACAAATTGCAAAAAGATCAGCTGTTAATTTTTGTACCTTCACTGATTGCTGTAATAGTAAATCGATCTTAAAATATTTAAAGGTTTTCAGGTCACTATTCTTTTTTTTATGAGGCATTCAATTTGTTAATACCAGTCGCTTGGTCACCTGATCCAACACTACGAACTAGGAAAAAGTAGAAAAGGCAATACGTCAAATTGTTCATTCCGTCTGTAATGACGTTGTAATCAGAACACTGAGCGTATCAAATTCACACAGACTGTGTGTGAGTTAATGACGAGAACAGGGATATTTCAACACATGCTAACTCCATAGTCTCAAAGGGGCTGTACTGTTGAAGTCTATAATAAAATTAATTTTTCCAATAGGAGATGAAGACTGATCTGGACTGCAGGAAGGCCAGAAACCAACCAAAAAATGGGCTTGATGAAAAATGCATAAGAGTTCCAGGTAAAAGTCGTTGTCTTGACAACATTTGTACCATTAAAAATATCCAGATCATCCATGCCAGGGTTCCTAAGGGTCAGGGTCATGGTTGGCTCATGTGGATTCTGTCACTATATCTCACTCACAAAAAAGATGTTAAGCTGTACTGATAATGAGCAAAGTTTAAAATCCTGCCTTTGGAGGATGCTCCTTACATACCTAATCATCATCTGCTCAGTGTGTAACATCCCACCGATGTTATTCATTTCTATTGCGTCCACTGTGTCCTCACTCACGGTTTGATAGAAAAATGCTCTACAACGTCCTGTCTGATTTCAACTCTGAGAGAAAAAAAAGCCTCCCTGAGGTGTTTGAAGAGGAAGTCCGGGCAGTTTGTCAGCACAGAACCATCAATGTGATATTAGACATCGAGTCAAGAACGTACTGTATTTGTGAACCTTACTTATAATTTTAGGGAAGCAATCCTCCCCGTGTGTTCTAACCTATTAATTGAATGTCTGACAATAATATTCACTTTAAAGAGGCGTATGTTTCCTGAGGGTTTTAGGTCAGCATCGTGGAGAGTGATTAGAACGATGTATAAGCAAAATATGACTGCACGATGGAACGAAAGAAAGGGTCTATAAGTGAAAAATTAGATGCAAGAAGTTGAAGGTTTGCATTTTAGCATTCTGCCTGAAGTCTTTAGGTCATTTTATCGTGCCAGGGTTTTCAAGTACTCTTCCTTAAATTAAAATGAATACAATAATTGATACTTAAATGCCAACACACTGGTGAGTGTAACATTGTTGAAAAGACAAATGTAACAACAATGCTGCACATTTTGATTATCTCCCTTTGTGATCCAAATGTATATATATACTGTATATTAAAAACAAAAGTTGATCCAGACAAGACCCTAAAAACTCCTGCTAAGGGTTACACCCATCTGTGGGTAACTGCAGTGTCTTCATGTAGTTGCATTCCGAAAACACTTATAGAAATGAGAAATTCCTGCAGTCCTGGGTGACCATGAAGGGTCTTTCTTTTCTCTGAGCAGTAGAAAAAGAGTCTGTATCTCCAAGTACACGAGAGACGCCATATTGCAGTATGAGAAGCTCCGTTACATGGCTGGATATTCAGATAGAATGTGTAAGCACAACTGTTCCCACCCTGTTTTTCTCTGAATAGGCACACATTTCCCAAACATCTACAGTGTTGTGTATAATTGATGTGCGGGCACAAAAACAAAAAGTCAGTACATAGGATTTGAAACAAATATATATATATATATATATATATATATATATACTTTTTCACATCCTTGCCCTGACTGACACCTAACGTCTCACGGGACTGTTGACTGCATGTTGTCCTCTTGTACTTCTGCTCCATATTTAGAGTCCTCCTGCAGGGATGCAGACCACTCTGGCTCCTCCACCGCCTCCTCCAGGTCCTCTCCTTCTACTAGCTCCTCTCTGCTGCCCGGTTCCTCTTCTTCCTCGTGAATGGCCAAAATAGGTTCAGCAACATTGTTTAAATGGCAAGAATCTGCTCCTTGGTCTTGTTTGGCGGCCTCCTCGGTGATAACCTTCTTCCACATCTCGTGATTCTCCAGCAGGTGGTGAGTGATCTGACAAAAGACTTTTCTCCTTTTCTTTGGGGCAGTATTTTCTGGGTTAAACAGAAAAAGTACTTTCCGATTATTTACATAAAGTTTTTACAGACACAGGACAAATCACGCTTTTTTTTGCCTGGTACAACAGAAATAATATCTGAAAGAGTTCAACATCCTAATACATGTATGTATGGATATGTACTTTAGAAGTGGCATTCAGCTGGTACAAATATTACTAACATTTTGATCATTTACTAGAAGCATTTTAATGTTGGCTGGAACTTTTTAAAATCCACATTACATCACATTTATGTTTATTTTAATGTTTTTTTATTTATTTCAATATTTTAATAATACAACCAAAACAAAAATAGCCCAATTTCTACATTTTTTAATAATTTAGCAGATATCTTTTAGTATGCCTGGAACTATTTTTAACATCAACAATTTATTATATTATATTTTTATCCATTTAAATGTGCTACCTAATATTTGAGTTATATTAAAAATAAAATTAATTACAATAAAATAGTCATTTTAGTTTGCAATTACCCACAAATCAACATTTTCTAAGAGCCCAACAGAAATAGCTCATTATATAAGTTCCTTGCCACTCTGTGTTACAGTCCAAATACTCGACCTCAGAACTTACGTGATGCACCAGAGCTCGTCGAAGCGTCTTCCTCTGCTGTTTCCTCCTCATCATCATCATCCTCATCCTCGTTTTCTGTGCTTTCTGGCTCCTCTGCCTCGGGGTCAGGTTCCACCCAACTCCCCGGCATGAGGCAGGCAGAGTCGTAGGAGTTGCACAGTGGTCCCACGATGTGTGTGATGAACGATTCCTGAAGTTTGGCCAACTGTGGTGCTGACCTGTCCATGAATGGGCTGATAGGGAGGCCCAAACTGGCCTCCTCATCTCCCTGAATGAAGAGAAAACGATGTGACGTTGATGTCATTCCTGATGACAAACTGTCATTTCCTATATCTGAAAGTTGTTTTTTTTATTTTATATTACAGTTAAACGTTTGTTACGTGTATTCAGTACCTCGTTGAACACTTATGTCTATTTAAGTCTATAGCGATAATTAATCTGCAGTAGATTTCAGTGCTGAGCTAAGGCCTGATCCGATTGGCCCCACTGATAGAAGAACTGCTGAGGTTTGGGGTTTTGAGGAGCTGTAGTTTCAAAGTCATGTAGATGAAAAGAAGGAGCCAGTTTACATACAGTAACTACCACTAACACACTGTGTTGGTGTTGCTGGCTGTACCCAGTAGTATTTCCTATTAGAGCCTTGATATTTGACCCCACGTTGGGAATGTTTCGCTCTGTGTTTTTTTAAGCCTGTAATTGCCTTGTTTACTGGCTTAGCGCCGAAGCAGTTCGCTGTGTTCTGAGGCTGAAGGAAGTAAAAGATTATTTTGAGATGTACAACATGTACTCAGATGTTTTTTCTGCCAGTAAAAAAGAAAAAAGGCTAAAGACTAATTAGCACTACAAAAGAAACAGTATTTGTATTAGTTAGTTTGTTATAGTTAGTTTGTTCATCCAAGTACTAGTGATACAGACAGACAATGATATACGCTCCTGATGACTCAAAATGAATGGATGGATTGATTGATTGATTGATTGATTGATTGATCTCCATATGTGTTGCATCAAAATTAAATTATGAAAAGAAGAAAAGTGCAGACACCATGCAACACCTCCTTTCCTTCCCATCCATATGTGATGTTTATGATGGCTCTAAAGATGAACAACAAGACTTTTCCTTGTTGTCTTGGTGACTGACTCTCAGCATCAGCCTCACACCACTCTACTGTACAAAGGCGGTCCCCCCACATTCAACTGCAAATGTAAAGCACAATGGAGGAATGACATCAAAAGATCTGGTCGCTTGTCGAGAGAAGAAAGGAGAGGAGTTCTAATATGTAACTGGCATCAAGAAATAAAGACGTCTTAATTATCTTCTTCAATTAGAAAGGGTGTTTTAAATACAGCAGACACTGTCACATATCCACCTCCGTACAACAAACTTTTAGGTTTTTGTTATGGGTTAGAACTAAGCAGACATGGAGCGTAGAACGCTACAGATGGAAAACACTTCGAGCTTCGAGAAAGTCTTCCTGTGTTGGAACAAACCAAGATATTTTGATGTGACCCAGTCTTTGTGTGGACCTGTACTTTAACAGTTTATTTCTGCTGCCTCATTTCATTGTACTGACAGTTTTCTTCCTGCCTCCACATTGCTTTACTGACTACTGACCAAACAGGAAAAATCATCTCTGATTTTTTTTTACTATTTAAATATTTTAATATGAAACTTATTGAAAATTATTTTACATATTTTTGTCACGATTCATTTTAGTCAGTGTTTTTGTATTGTTTTAAAACGTTAAAAACACAAATCAATAATCAGAATAATTAAATACCACATATAAGCCATATTAAATGAGAATGCATTTTTTTTAAAGAAAATGATGAGAAATGATTAATTGCAACGATAGAATATTTAACATTGTGTATGTAATGAATGATCATTTATTTTTACTAATTGATTTTTCAGCATTGACTTTGTTTCACAATGAAAGCTCAATGATGAAACTGTTAGCACATTATAGTCAAAGTACGGTTCGCTGACCTGCTCGTAGAACTCATTGACGATGCCTTCTGTCCACTGCAGATGCAGGTCCTTGCACTTGAGCGGTCCGTTTATGTCAGCCAGTTTAATACACATCTGACACACCAGCAGCCGGTCGTTCTCATTGGACCAATCAATACCCGTGGATGGATCATCGCCCACCTGAAAGGGTTAAGAACACGTGTTGAAAAATGTTGATTCACTCACAGAAAGAGAGAGACACTGATGTGATGTTACTGTGACCTTGTCATTCTGACCTAATAAACACTTGAAACTGAGTGGGATTTAAATGAACATGGACGTGAGGGAAATAAATAGGAAAAGAAGTTGTGAGGGGCTTCGTGACTCCAGCTGATTTTATAATATCTTATACAAATTGTCTCAAAAGAACAACAATATTTTATAGAAAAAGTCAATATTTATAATCAGTATCAAACTCAAATTAAAATTAACATTTTTATTTGACATCAGCAAAAATTGTTTTATTGTGCAGTGGTTAATAACTTATTGAGTTATGTTGGTGAGAAAAACAAAAATTTAGTAACAAAGATAACTTCCTTTATGACCATTACAGTTAAATAAATAACACTATTAGTCCAAATATAACATTACATTTTAACATTCTCACATATATTTGAACTTATTGATAATTATTGGTAAATATTTAACCCAGTGGTGGCTCTGCATTTAAAATAATTGAAACTGCTCAGCATGAACAAAAACAATGTTTATGGTAGTTTTTCTATAAAGTTTTTCTATAAAGTAATAAATAATTTTATTTTTCCCAGACGTTAACTTCAGGAGAGAACAGTAAGGTTTACCTTTGCGTTGAACTCAGCGAGGAAGTCAAAATGCTTCTTCAGATCGGTGGCCAGAATGGCCTCGATGACCAGGAACCGAAAACGTTTGAACTCCACGTGGTCCAGGTTGACCAGGAAGTTGAACTCCGGCCGGGACATGAAGAGGTTCCAGGCTGAGGCAGCGTGGTGATTTTCCAAAACGGACCGATCGTTGTACAGCACAGCCTACACACAAGTGAAGACACACAGATGCACGCAAGTACGCACACACACTCACGTTAGACTTTAACAAATGAATACTATATTGTAGAAAATCAATACTGTTCTATACATAAGAATAAAATATATAGAAATATATAGATAATCAATACTGTTCTATACATAAGAATACTATTCATAGAATACATAGCAATATTGTATTACACTATACTATACTGATTTTTTTGTATTCTATACTACACTGTACTGTAGATACATGTTATTATGTATAACTCAGTATTCATTACTAATAGTACAGGGGTGTACTGCACATACACTACAGTACACATTTTTGTACTATTCTATATTATACTATACTACAGTATATTACTTTACTATGTTTCTTATTGATATTGTATCCCAAATACATTTTGTAGCAATAATATATACCTGTACAAATTCAGAACAATATATCACTTTCTGATTTCCTTTTTTATTTGTACTTTGTATTTTTTTTTTTAGATCCAATCCAAATGAGCCACTGCTGTTGACGCCATTTTATTAGAACGCAAAAAACATTAGCACAAAAACCAGACTAGATTATTATTAACATCTAGCCATCGATCCCAATGTTTGTACATCATGGGCCATAGTGGCCCACAGGCCAGGTGTTTGAGAGCCTTGATTGAGATACTATTTTGCAAGATAATTATTCAGCTAAGAACTTGTGAAGAGAGTCCTCCTGAAGATAACATTTATATTTTATATAAACCTTTATGGTAACCTTCTACCTACTGCCCACTCATGGACAAATATTTGTATTTCTATTGTTTTTTTGCCATTTAGAATGTTATATAGTTACATTTACACAACACTGTGCAGAGTGGAAATACCTGTGGGGCACTAGTGGCCACAAGGAATGCATTGGTCCGACCTGGGTGGTCATAGTCGTGCATTGCAGCAGCCACATAAAGGGCCATTAGCTCCAGGCCAGGAATGAGGCCTGACAGGCAGCCATAACTATCTTCTGACACAGTGTAGGTCTTTGAAACCAGGAAGCCTGTGTGACTGTGTGTTATTCCACTGTCAGAGTCTAGACACAGGGCAAAGGGCAAAAGTAGGTAAAGTCATGGAATTCAGACGCACTGAAATACTACATAGTTCTCAGGATGCTGTGTGACACTTGACACGAGTGACAACTGATCCGATAGAATCCACTTTCAAATATATTTGAGCAATGCCTTCAAGCACATACTTTATCAACACACCTGAGTCACTAGCAGAGCTGTGGTCAGTAACAAGGCTGGGCAGACCAGGAACAGCCTGTGTGGTGAGGTACCAGACCGCATGGAGGACATCTGTGGCATGGACCCTGTTGTGATCTGGGTCAGGACAGAAAACAGATGCTTTTTGTATGCACATATCTTTGCCACCAGGGCGCACTGTTGGACTACTTGTGTTTTCAGTAAAAACGTAAGAGGTTGACATCTATTGAACTATACTGTACTATAATAAAAAATTAAAATGACACATTTCCCTCTAGTGGATAAATCAGTGATGTAGCTTAAAAAGCTGTAATTAAAAAAAGTAGTAAAGTGGACATTAAATCTTACATGGTATGTCTCTGTAACCATTCTCAAGGGCATAGAAGTAGTTCATGAACTCTTTTACGGGAATCTTGAAGATCTCAAACAGACCAGTGTCTTCAAAAAGCCTATAGGAGACCTGACAAACAAATGACAAACACCAAGACTTTCAACATTTTAAGCACGCAATATTTGCAACGCAGAAAGACAAAAAAAAAAAAAAATCAGTAATTGTTAAAAAAATAAATAAATCTACATCTTTGCATGTACATCATTCAGTAAAGAGTTAGTCCCTTAAGGTCACCTCTAATCCAATTCAGAAGTCATATTTGGTCACCTGACTGAGGATACGCCCACATTTGCCATTTGTCTTCTCCATCAAGCTGAAAATGGGGAAGTTCCAATTGTTAATCTGACTCATCAGAGGCTCCAGGTCCTCCATTATTAGCGGTTCTGGAGCTAGAAGAGGTTTGTCCTGTCAAAGAAAGAAAATATTATTGATAAATAATATATTTACATTTTAACAGACTAATTCATGCCTGTCCAGCCCCTACCTCAGGAGGTATTAGCGGGTGGAGGATGACGTTCTGGGCCGGGTTCTTTCCCTCCCCTGTGTCTTCCACGGTATGTGCTACATCACAGCTGTCACTGAGGTTCGCCTCATTGGTGCTGTCATAGTCTGATGACACCACCACTTGGTCCTCTGCTGGTTAGAATAAACAAATAAATAATTACAATACAATAAAATGTGTCACACAGGAGTTAAAATAAGAATATTACTTATTATTTGTATTATTAATATTATTATTGGTCTGTCCATAGATCCAAAATAAAAAGGCTGATTTCTATTTCTTCTCTACAATCTCACTGTATAGTGACTTTTAATTTGTCTATTTTTGTAGTCTCTCTCTACTGTTGAATAATGTTGCCGTATAACGTGACACAGAGTACTGTGTTCCTACAACACCGTGATCTAAGGTGGTGTTTAGAGGACAACGGGACAGTACCTGACCGTGGTATTCTGTCTCCCTTGTCCATTGAGCCCTCTCCATGGCTCAGTCTGATGTATGGTCTCCCACAGCTGTGAAGAAAGTATTTTGTTTTTAAATACCATTATATAAGGTGTACACAGTATTCTGCCTCTACTGTAATATTTCTCTGCTAACGTGTTTATAATCCACAAATGAGCGGAACGTTTCATATTAAAGACACTAAAGCGGCCAATCCCGGCTGGTATACTGCTTGAAGAGCACAGAAATGTGATAGCTATTTGTGTCTGTCTGCTTGCCAAAAGCATTGGGAACGATGCCATTCACTACATCTGTCTTTGATGTGTAAACCAGTCGGCAGAAGTTGTCCATAAAAAAGCCTTAATGGGACTCCTACTGTGCTGTCACCACATGAAACAGATTCCCTGCAAACGCCTTTTAGAGAAACAGCCGTCAGTTAATTAATGGATGGATTAATGGACACACTCTTCAAAACAATAGATAGATGACAGTGCAGTGATGCCGTAACAAATGACTTCTTAGAAACTGAGGCCACACTCACTGCCATGACTGGCGGCCACAGAGACAGAGTTGTGCAACAGACAGATGAAAATGTTCACGATACTTGACTGGTTTATGAATCAGTCCATAAATATTTCTACAGAGACAACCTTGAACTGTTCCTAGCTGGTTAGTCAGCTGTGTCACACCAGCTGGAACCTTCATTCTGAAGCACTTTTCCCTGCTGGGGCCACTATCAGGCCGTGGAGGTGGTTCTAATTAAAATACCTCTGCCTTAATGTTGTAAAACCTGCATATTTGTAGCAGGAAATGCCTACAGTTGGAGCGCGGTGTCACCGGGAGCACACAGAGCCATAGTGTGTCGGTCTTCTCCTGATGAATTGTTTCTTGAACACTTCTGAGCCAGACCCACCCTGCCTAATGGTTCTGAGGCCCCAACAAAGGAAGTTCTGTTGTGTTTGCAAAGCTATAGGTCAAACCACTGTGTGTAACGCTGCACAGGTGTGGAATACAAAAAAAGTTTGATCGTTTGGTGGGCAAACAGTGAGTACATTATTGTCAGGGGGGTCTAGGCAGGCAGTCTCACTTGGCAGAACAGGTCTACCTAATGAAAGCTGAACAACTGGCAGACACATTTTCTATTTTGCTAACGTAGCAGAACAGCCTCAGATCCTGACATGGAGCCGTCAGCACAGCATGTCAGCGTGGAAATAACTGCGTTTATCACACAGAATTGTAGTAACAGCGCTCAGCACTGCAGTCACAGCAACTTAAAGGTCTCACCAATACATGCAAGTAAAACTACAACACACACACACACATTACTATTACTATTACTACTGTTCCAGTCTGATTCACTGTGGACATGGTACTGCAGAACAGTGTTTCCCAAAGACTGGTTCGCGACCCTCAGGTGGGTCACAAGAAATTTTTTTTGGGGCAACAGTTGCATACCAGGTGACCTCAATCAGATCTGTGTAAGGTTCACATGGAGCCTTGGAACTCCAAATGCTGATTTCATAGGTTTGATTGCTCATTAACTCATGGCAATTTAAGGCTAATGCACTTCAACTTTAACTCCTGTTAAACTCTTACTAAAATACCACTAGAACATTGATAACATGGGCAGGTTCATAAGAAATTTAGTTTGAATAGATGTTACAGTTTTAACATAGAAATACAAATAAATTATTCACTGACAGTTAATAGTTAATATTATATTGAAATAAAGTTAAGACACAGTAGAGCAGACGGTCTTTTACTTTCCTCATAGAAAACAGAATTGTGCAAAAGGATAATCCGTACCAGAGTCAAAAGTCATGATTGTTTTTTTTTTTTTACATTTTCCACATAAAAACAGTCCACTGAGAGAGTCCACTGTTAACACAGTGGAAAATCACTCTTTTCTCACAAACACATGTGGCCTCTCTTACAGTAAGAATAAACCTTAATCAAGCTCATTATCCTTAAATAGGAAATACTGTATAAAGTGCAACATTGTCTGAGAAACGGCCCCTACTTCCTTGCCTGCACATTTATTGCTTATCTTAATGTTTTGAGCCGTGTAATAAGGACCAACTGGACTCGGCCTACTTTTCTGCAAAGCAGTTTTCTTCTAGATTTTATACTCAGTGGGCTGATGGATTACTTTTGGTTCAGAGCCCACACGGACAGTGCCCAAGGAACAAACAATAAACAGAGGAGCCATTATTTCTCTTTCCAGTAATCTACCGACTCCTGAGCCAGACGACATGATGAAGACGACAAAACAGTGGCCTGAGCTGCAGAGACATGCGAGGTACTCACTCTCTGCATTTGCACCGAAGGTTTAAAGTTGGCCTTATTCCTTCTTTTTTTTTTTTTTTTCAATCGCTGCACGTCACCGAGAGCTGACATGATGGAAAAAAGAGGGGAGGGGGAAGAGGAGCTTAATGTCCTAATTAAGATTGTAGAGATTTGATGATGGAGCAGAGAGAAGGCAATTGGAGCCATGTGTTCATGGGTATTGTTGTTTTGTTTGATGTGGGAATAAACTCAGTCGTTACTGTTGTGTTGGCTGAGGGATCATATGTGTAAAATATTCTCACATATTTGACAAATAAATGTTTTGGTGTAGAATGTTGGAACACAGCTGTTTTTATTGCATGAAAAATAAGAACTCCTAATGACGTTTTACTCTGCACGAGGACTCGCACTCCATCGTGACTGTGCAACCCATGTAGAAAATACACCCCTCCAGCTGTGATGGTGAATGTGTGTGTGTGTGTGTGTGTGTCAATTGATATATATCGTGGATGGAGGAGTCCTAGATGTTTGTTTATACACACATCACCATAAGTGGACATGGCTCGGGCCTGTCACCGAGTGTTGAGACCAGGTGACAGGGCTTTGTGTACAAAAGCTGCTCCGTGTGCTTACGTCTGAACAGTGTGCTCAAGTATTACACTGTCATAGTGGGAAAAGGACCCAAACAAACCACTGACAGCTGCTAGAAACACAGAGCATGAGCAACTTGACGCAGGAAAAAACATTGTGCATGAGTAATTCATAGGCCTTGATTTAATTATCGTGGTCTTGGTTAAATATTTGGGATTCGGAAACTTATTGCAGACGGTCTGTCTACTGTGATATTTTCATAATATATAGAAATCTTAATTCACTAATTACATTGTGCGTCTGTAACTATTATACTGAGACTTTTTATCATAAAACTTGAAAATAATAATAATAATAATAAAAGCCTAAAAACTCATTTTAAGTACCCTTTCCAGGTAAGCTTTAAATTTTATAAAAATGCAGTTCCTTGTTTTCAGGCTGATGACTGAAATTTTGTGGATTTGTAATATCCAACACAATTATACTACGAAATACTATGTAAGTAAAATTCATATATAAGTATATATATATATATATATATATATATATATATATATATATATGTATATATATATATATACCCACACCAATTTGCTATTTGCTAGACTACTAGGTTAAAAGACACTAAGGATGTTTTCTTACATTTGACTATGAACAGTTCTTGATGTTTGGTTGTCGAGCATCTATGGGCTCTGGCTCATGTGTTACACTATCCATCCAAGTGGAGGCAGCAAACACCTATCTGTACCTTTAAAAGTTTCTACATAAGAAATGCAACAAATGTCTACCAGGTAAATTCACTGCAGGACTTTTGTCTAACACCAGCCAATGACAAGTCAGACTGTTCTAACTTTTATTGTCTTGGGAGTTTGGTTTATTTTGCAACTAGGTCATCAGAAGGCAGGTTCAATGCTTTGTTGCTAATGTTAAAAGATAATTTATTGCTGCGATATAACCAGCTATTTCAAAGACAGGGAGCTTCCACCTACAAAAACTCTAAATATTGAACAAGTGATTTTCCTTGACCTCTAATTATTGCCTCAGTAATCATAACAGACGGAGACTGTTTATTCAAGCTTCAATGCCTCAATGTAATTTACTAGCAAAGGAAAAAGATGAAACTCTAGGAAAATAAACATTTTCCATTGAACATCAATATGAGCGAGACTTGGACCTGTGTATGTTTCTACTGATTCATTAGCTGTGTACGTCCTGTCCAAACACAACCACTTAGTCAGGTTTTCTAAACACAAAATATGGACCAAATATATGGAGACATCCAACCACACATTATAAATGCTAACATACACACAATGAACAGCGGAATACACACACACACTCATCATCACCATCTTGTCATGCACGAACCGGATCCTATTGTTTTGCTACCTATCTGGCAACAACCAAACACACACAGTATAAAATATGTCATATTTATTTACTGTATTTAACACATGCAGTGACACTTCTCAACCTCTATTGTCAACTTTGCACTCCAATTTATGCAACGACTAACTAAAGGTGAATCTTAATTTCCCTTTTCCTCATTGACATTGACAGAATTCTAATACTTTGTTTCAAACAAACAGGTTTTGATTCTCAGTTACCTGCAGGTGGGTGTTTCATGATAGGGTTTGATGCTGGCGCTACGATCCCTGCGAACAGGTCCAGGCTCAATTGTGGGAAGCCCTGTTGCAGAAGTGGTGGTGGTCCATGTGGAAGAGATCCTCCTCAGGAGACCAGGGTGAAGACTTCGCCTCAGACGCTGTCCAGACACACACCATGAGTCAATAAATTAAATCTCATCACCATGTGAAGTTTTCACTGGTCAGAGAACGTGACTTAAAATCATGTTATATTTATGTAGTAGACTATAAGTCACACCAGTGCCCTCTAGCGGCTGTCAGTGTGAAAATAACAAACATGTGGAATTATATATTTCAATATAAAAGTTGCACCTGAGTATAAATCGCAAACCCAAAGGATGAAAACAATTTCGACTTCTGGTCCAGAAAATATGTTAATTTTCCCCAGTATTTGTGATAACTGAAACGGCTGATTATTCTGGATCCACACTAACATGATTAACTGTTTATAGGCATTATCTTCTTCATTTAAAATATCTATTGAATATTACTCGTTCACTGCTGAGTATTGTTACCATTGTGGCTCGAACGCACATAAAGTGAACATCATGCACCACACAGGTATAAAAGCATCTTTTAACTAATGCTCTAGATTTTCTTTTTAATTTGTCTCTCTGAGATTCCCAGAGGTGTGTGTGTGTGTGTGTGTGTGTGTGTGTGGCTGTGATGCCTCCATCTGCTCAGTGCTACAGCGCAGCCTGGTACAGCAGTGCTACACATGCTCTCTTTCTGTCTGTCTTCCACAGGGTGACCTAGTAAAAATCACGGCAGAACACTGAATGGGCCCATTCACAGGGAGACGTCATGAAGCCGGCACCGAGTGCATGGACACAGGTTTTTATACAGTGTGTTCATTACGGTCATTTTAGCGGGCATTTCAATCACTCCATACATGTGCAGTTTGAAATAAACCTTGGCAGTATCAAAGCATGTGATCACATACATGTGTGTGTGTGTGTGTGTGTATGTATATATATTTATATATGTATATATATCACCAGAAGCAGCCATGTAACAGAAACATACACTAAATTAAATAAAAATATTTAAATATAGGTATATAGAGAGAGTTCACTCTATGTCATAACAGGAGTTGTTTCTGAAAGTAGAAATAATACCTTACTGTAACCGTTATACTGTTTTATATTATACTCTGTTTGTGTGATTATGTACTGCATTACATTGTATATAGAATACATGTTATACATGTTTGCAATGTTTGATGCTACAGATTTAAACTGACTTAATTTTCTGAACTGAATTAAGGCTTTGCCGAAAAACAAAAAAAGATTTTAATGAATCCCTCTAATCTTTTATTTTATTTTATTATTCTGTAACACTCAGAAACTGTCCTTCATTAAAATCCCTGTATTTCAAATGACAGCTATATCTGCCAGAAACTCTTTTATCTTTTATCAGCTGAAATTAGGAATATGAGGACATTTATCAATTCAAATGATTTGACAGTTTGAAGGAAGCTTTGTCATTCAAACCATTGATGTCTGTATTCACTGTATATTTTACGCATTCAGCTTTTTGCGTCCTAAAAACCTGCTTTGTGTTGTGCAAATAAATGAATTTTGCTAATGAGAATGTGCCATGGTGGACTTGGAATGCTGAGCCAGTGGGCAGCAAAGCAGAGCGGTTTTCATTAGTCCACTAACTACCTTCACTGCTCCTGCACTTCTCCTCCCAGCCAATTAGAGGTGGAACATCATCTCTGGGGAGCTGTACGGAGCTCAGGCTCAGTGGCCTCTCTGGAGGCACAGATTCTCACAGCTACTTTTACTACTTTTTAGTAGTTCAGACGTTGTAAAAATACACCTGTCAGACAAGTAAATAGCTAAATGGCAGTGTGCCCATTAAGCACACACCTGCCAGCAGCGGTGACAGCTAGGACTGATGGCCGACCTTAAATTAAAAGCTCATCTACAATTTGGGTGGGAGACCGCTTCTGTTGACAAATCCTCATCCTTTTCTGCAACCGATGGAAAGTCGCATTCCCCTTCACGTTGCCCCTACTTTTCTTACCAGCACACACACACACACACACACACACACATACATATGCATGCACGCACTGTCTGGCTCGGCACATCTGTCATGTTGACACAGCTGTGGCAATGAAAGAGAGAACAGAGCTGTGAGCTGTAGACGTGCTCTATTTTTCTTCACTCAGCTCTATGAAAATACACTCCTTCATTTGTGGCTAAAAGCTCTGAGAGCAGGAAACACTCATTAGCTCAAACACAGGCTAAAAGATTAACATGTGTGTGGAGTGCGGTGAGGAGTGTAAATCATTTGGTCTTAATAAGATGGACTGCATTTCTTTAGTTGGCCTTTTTAGATGTTTTCAAAGAAAATTGTTTTTGTCTGTCGACCTAGACTTTTTGTTTTACCCTCCTGACTTTTGATTTTAGGGCGACGTACAACCCCACAGAGGTGGGAAACCTGTACCTTGTGAAAGGACGTCTTCTCGCCTTTCTCTGGTCCTTCTTCTGAGTCAGAGCAGGTGTAGGCGTCGCCAAGATTAAGCAGGGGAGCAGGGCGCGGCCGGTGCAGCGGCTGGAAGGTGAGCTGGGTAGTGAGCAGGTTGCTGACAGCCCGTAGTGAAGTGCAAGTATTGGGGGGCAGAGAGGGGTCAGCCAGCAGGTCCGTGATCAGTCCATGAGCCTCTCCCATCACCGCTATGTCCACCATGACTGTGGTGCCTGACGACTGTAACAATGGGACAGAGAAACAAAAACTACTGAAGTAATCACTGTGTCAGCTCCCAGTGTGTGTCACTGCTCTGAGTCTCTGAGCAGATGAACCTGGTGACAGGCGTCTGACGATGTCAGAAGAACAGGCAGTAATCAATGGCTTCACAGATTCACGTATTCGTCTGTTTCACACCAGTAATCTACAGTCATTTCTTAGGATACGTGTACTTCTGAGATCAAACTACAGTGTGTTAGATCAGTGTTTTCCAAACTTGTTCTGCAGCGCCCCTCTTTTGTACATTGTCTAATTGTCCATTCTCCCCCACTCAGGCACATCCACAACTATTTACTACTATTACTACTAAAAAAACCTGATTAAAACCCTGTTGTTCCTACAGAATGAATATTATCATTAAACAAGACAACAACAACAAAATAAACTAAATAAATGTGGACATTTTTGTCCCTCCCCGTGCTACCCAGGTGGGGCCTGCACCCTACTTTAGGAATCATGACATTACCTTGGGGTAAAAGCTGTCTTTTTTGTTGTCTGAAATTCAATTTAAACTTAATTAATCTTTTTTCAGCGTTGATATAAATGCACGTCCAAGTACAAGACGGTGTTTTCTTAACCCGGTGAAGCAGCAGGAGAAAGTCCGGACTAGAAGGCACTGTGTTTTTACACACCCACAGGAGACAAACTCAATATCTTTTGTGTTTAAATGATAACTCAAAGCTACCATATGTTCTCCTTGAGAGTATGGACCCGAACAGAAGGGTGAAAAATATTCAATTACCTCCTGGAACGTATCTCACAAAGTTTCCCTAGGACAAAAGTAAAAATGAACTATCTAAATATGGATTGAATTTACAGGAACAGTAATTCATTTGTTAGTTAAAGAGAGTTTAGGAGCTTCATTTTCCCAAACTACATGGCAGTCTAACTGTGTTACAGTAATGGACTCCAAAACTGCTTGAACTGAGCTCCTGGATATATTAGAATAATGGCTCAATATGCTTTAGTAAATCTTATTCCACAGCATGACTTAGGAAAAACAAAGTGCACGTTTTTCTTCATGTAGACGGCATGCAAAAAATAACAAAGATACATTTAAAACTAAGAGAAACAATCTATCGTTGGTTTTCACTCTGAGGCAAATTAAAGGTAAAAAAATACTTGTATGTATGTGTAATCAAATATAACCAATTATTATCAATTCTTCTTGGATTTATGACTTTCAGGCTCCAGTGACATTATGCCAATATTTAGCTTCTATTATTTTATTGTTATATATAGGTTTTTTTTTACATTTATCTGTCAAGAAGGTAATCCAATCAAACCAAAGCAGATTTTATGACATTTTTCAAATATGTAGGTCATGGCCGAGGAGAGGAAAAGGAGATTATGGTGGTGATTCAGAGGTTGATATAAGATTTTTTGCTAAACTTGCAAAATAGTGATTGTACTGAAGCAGTCTTGCTGGAAGTTTCTTTTTTTTTGCTCTCTGTGTGCAGTGTGGGCGTTTTTACAGTTCAATTCCTCAGTGAAGCATTTAAACACACCCTTTGTCATTATTTACACAATCTGTTTTGATCACACCAATTACAGTAACTGCAACTAATTATACAACGAGACACTGCATGCAAATATAATGCAAATAATGCCAGCACAGCAGCAAAAGAAAAAAAAATAGCATTCCTCCCATGAATGTACAGTATAATATGACAATACTGGCAGCAGAGAAAAACCATAACCGCAGCATTTTTCAAAAGTACACTTCTCAGCACAGAGACGGACTAACGTGGGGAGAAACACATTGAATTATGGCCATAAACAGCACCAGGCTAACGACGTGTGAAAATAAAAAACAATAGAGGATTGTTCTGAGACAGATTTGTTTCAATAGGAGATCCTGCCAAGCTTTGTAACCTCTGTTCAAGTTGTGGAAATGTTTCAATTCCACATACAGAGCCAGACACATATGCACACTAACAAGTTTTTTTTCTGCTGTACCTTACATGGCTCCCCGGTGAGGCCAGGGTGAAGTCAAACAGGAGAGGAGCAGGGAGTTGCTCCTCACTGTAGAAGGAGTCGACATACTCAGCACAGCTGTGTTACCACTTGATTCTTAATAAATGGACTCATTAGCTATGTCTCAGCAAGAATCTGACCTTTGACCTCCTCAGTCCCGACCCCTATGACGGCCAACAGGCACCGTCTGTTTCTTACCATCTAAACCGCAACTTTGAAGGGAGCAGGTAGTGTGAGCTGGCCTTGTACTCCCAGGGTAAGGTGAAAAGTTCACAACCCTCACTTAATTGCTTTGCCAAGAGTGGTTAAACAACCACAACCAAACACAGGTCAGTCTTAGCCGCCAGCAAATTGATCTATTAGGCTCACAAGTTGACTTTTTCTCCAAGAATATTTTCTGATTTTCTGACACTATTTCTTCATTTTATTAGTGGTAAAAACATAATCTCGATAACATGTGACAACTTAACATGCCGTGGCTCATTTAGCGGTCCATCTGACACAAACAGCACGTGGACACAGCTAATCTCTTTTAAAGACTGGGAAATCCCGTAGAAAGCCTGATGGATGGATGGACGTCTGGACAGATAGCAGTTGTACAGCGATCATTCCTCCTTTACATCTTCTCCCTCGTGTCCCGTGCCCCTCTCCTCCTATACTATGCTCCATTCATGGTGTGAGGACCAAATGTAAATATATGTCACTCAGCTCATTTACAGGCTGATTTAGAAGGTTGCTAAATGGGGGTCAAAGAGAAAAAGTCTGCTGGGTAACATCTGTCTGGACAAAGACCACAAATCCTTGACCATCTCCAAAGTATATAGTTGAGTGTCTGGCTTAAACTCTGAATGTAGGATGCTGCTAAAAGATGAATATTAAATGCAATTAGAAACTAGGTGATAATTAAGAGATTTAAATTGATGCATCTGGTTTATACTTTTCTGTAGGAAAAAGGAAGTAGAAAGATCATTTAAAAAATGTTCCCTGACTGGACAAAATCGGCTAATGTTCCTAGCTATGCAACATTAGCAAATCTTTATATAAAATTGTTTCTGTAGAGGGGAATTACTAAGCACCTTAGGTTTATCCACATATGTTATCCTGCTGTATTTTTCTTTTCTTAGCTATATTCATCTTGAGAGCATCATTGTCACATGACACACGTGTCATATAAACCAGGATGACATGATGCTGCATGTGCCTCAGATGGGATTTTTCTAAACTCGATTACCAATGTCTGATTGACCATTTTCAAAACACAATGTAAGCTCATTTAATTGTAGGCCTCTAAGATGTTCTTGATAAGTTATAAATATTCTTCTATTAATGTAAAATGATAGAATCCTAGTTATTAAGGAGACATTTCATGCTCCTGCAGCTGCAGATTCTGTAAATACGCTGCTCTCGAACAGGCTACATGGTAAGTAGGTTGGCAAAGTGAAATAGTAACTAGCCCATATAAACACAGCACCACACCTAATATGCTTGAACTGGCATCTCTACCAGACTCCAGGTGGGAAGTTTGCCTTCGTTTTCCATCTTTTTGATTGCAAAAGGCAATCTAGTAGAGAAAGAATCCAAAGTGTCATAATATCCTCTACGATTGTCTTTACATTAAAACACTCTAAAGTACAACCATTAAATAATACCCCAAAAAGTTAATTTATTTGCTGAACTTGCTGTGAATGATCTGTTGTGACAGTTAACAATATCAGTTTGTCTCCACTGTGTTAACAGCCCATTTGAACAGTGCATCAATGGACTGGCAATAGATTAACACCAGCCCGGCAGTTCATGTAAACCTGACCAAGGGCCAGTCAAAACAAACCAGCCATCATTCCTGAGCAGTGAGGCGTTGTTTGTATAATATTCACCTGTCCAGACCTATAGATGGAGCAAACGTTGACAGAAAGGAACCAATGTAAGAAAGATCAGATTAAGGCCCTTAAGATTCAAAAGCAGAATATGTGATGTTAAATAAAAGCTAAATAGAACTCTATGAGCAGAAAAGTCTTGAATGTGTTGAATGTGGTTCTTTTTGTTAAACATATTCATATTTACGAATGTACGTCTCATTACAAAAATGCTTGTTGCATCATTGACATCAGAGTATATTTATTACATTTAACTGACGTTAATTAATTGTACTAATGGTACTAAATAAGTACTAGAGTATTTCTGTTCTTGTTTGTGCCGGACCACATATTTTCTTGCTCCAATGAATCTGCAGGAGGCAGATTAAGTGCCTCCTTTGAAGCAAACAAACCCTGACTCTTCTTTGTAATGAGGCTTATTTTGATGCACAGACAGAAGGGTCACATATTTTTGAATTTTGAAATGGTCCCTTACATGTATTTTTAATCCCTGGAGTCCCTTATCCAAACATACACTCCCTAAAGCTTCTACTAGGATGACTATGATAGGTTGGCCTCAAGAAGTTGTGCAACACTGAGAACATAATGTATCCCAGAGGAGGAGAAATACAGACTGAACAAATGCCCGAGGGGCCAACTGGAGAAGGAACTGCATTTGATTCATTTAGTAAACACAATTTAATAATGTAAGCATTTCTGGTTCATCATGAGACACACACACACACACCGTGATGCTTACTTTGCAATTAACCCCCCACATAAAACATCCCACTGTGAGAAATAAAGGAATGCACTGAGTAAGAAACCAGAGGCTACCAAACAAAAACAGGTTTTGTAGGTTGATCGTACACGGAGAGAACTCTGAACGTGTTTGAGAAATCATTACGGCACAGTTTTCTATTTCAGTGACAGAACAGTGTAATGGCCATGATTACATCTGTCCAGATGGATTAGCTGAAGATGGGCCTGGGAGCTGGTGATGATCTGCTAACAATAACAGTCTGGTGATACCGTGCTAATCACAGCGCCGCTGTAACACAAAACCACACTGCACACAGCCGCACAACACTGAAACCTGTGCTACGATTACAGATGGTGACTGAGGTTATTCAGTTATATCTTCCATGCAAAAGTTCACTGTTAATTCATACAACTAAAAATGAACAAACAAACAGAGAACTCTAAAGTTTGACCCCCGGTTTGTTGCTATGTCGAAGTCAAAGGTTTGTGTTTTTTCTGTATGTGCTCCGGTGTGCTGTCTACTTTCTCTGCAGCTGTTTTCAAACACAGATGTCATTTCAGAGATATATGAGTCTGCCTTGTCTTCTGTTCTAGTTCTTATAGTTTACATTCCCTTAACTTTAATAACACAAGGACTGTGGTGGGAAGTGACACCTCTGGACATGCTGTTTAATCACTGTCCAAATGTTAGTGGTAGGGTCTTTTACCATTTATAAGGTGTGTGTGTGTGTGTAGGTGACTGATATGGGTGAGGGGAGTAGTTCCTGTGTTCATTTTCTCTCAGCTGTTCACAGTTATTATCTTTAGTGGGTCAGTGTTCTGTGGAAGCTGCTAACCTGTGATCCTCGGGATCCTCTCTTGTGGTCCCAGTCTGAGCGGCTGAGCATCTGCGGAAAAAAACACAGACAGACAGAAACATGTTCAGACCACACTTCTGCACATCCTGTTTGCTACTGTCCTACTGTGCATCAGAGGGAAAAAAAGAGCGATGGAGTTAGAGCAGGCCGGGAGACAAGGAAGGGAGAAAAAAAAATGTTTTGACTTTTTTTTTTTTAAACTTTCCTTTCAAAAAGGAAAGGAAGAGCTGTAATGTGATTTCATAAAAAGGCTCAGCTTACTTTAGCTCCTAATCACAGCCTAAAGGAGCTGAAGAAGCCCAGTGATTTCTACACTGTCTAATGACCAGCTACTGTGTCCTCCCACAGGCCGTGTAATCCAGTTTTCTGCTTTCGTGGGAGTCTTTCCACACTGATTTTTGGTGAGCATATTGAAAATAATATGCCAAAATCTGCAGTCACAGAATCTCTCGCTGCAGAACTGAGAAGGACAGAAACCTCAAGAGTCGCTGTGACAAAGTGCTGCTGCACACAGGGACGCCCGCTCCACAGCCAAACTGATAATTTAGGTGTAATTTCCCGACTCAGCGGACGTCACCGTGTTGTGTTGTGTTATAAATGAAAACATAAGGGAAACAGTAGGTTTCTTTGTCCAGAGTTAAGTGTTTTAAAGTACTGCTCTGGTCTGAGCAGACAAAACAACACACTATCAGGGGGAAGTTTGTTTTATGACAAGCCCTGATAGCAGTGACAGATCTCACCAAATGAGTGGGAGATTGATGGTTCAAATCTAAAACAACAAAATACTAATGAATAAATGGTACCTCGAGCTCTATACACACATAAAAGCTCTATTGGACGTACCTCGCCACAGTATTTCTGCTGTTAAGTAAAGACAATGAAAGCTATTTTTTGTCAGAACTTTAAATCCTTAAAGCTGCCACTCCATCTAACAGTATTTATACTGTATATTTTTTATATTTTGTATATTTAGAAGCTCACAACACCATTTTGAATGTTTATTAGCATGTTGAATTTCCTAATCTCTTGACTTGACTTCCAGTCAACATGTCAACCATCCCATAATGTACACACAAGCCGACACAAACAGTGGCTTAACCTAGCAAATGCATCTTATTATTTTGGTTTTAAGAGGCATAAAGTGCGACCCTTTGAGACTATGGTGAGGAAGCAACACAGTCTGGATTTTTAGGACTGTAGAACCTTTGAAAACATTTAGGTTTAAGATGATTTGCTGTCGTTTGCCTGCTAACCGATGAGGTTGTATAACTTAAAAAAAAGTACACCTAAAAAAGTGTACTTTTTTGGCATCGCTTCCAATCACAGATTTTGAAAACCTGATTTACAATGTAAAGATTCCTGTGTTTACATTTGGGCCAGCAGATGTTGTACAGGTTAAGTTATTACACAGGATACAAAGACACGAGGCCAGAACTTCAACTCCTTTGTCTGGCGGTTATTGTAAACCTCATCCTCGAGTCAAGGTTCTGGAAACAATGGCTAAAGTCCCACAAAAATGTTAACCTTGACAGTAAGCAAACAACCTCACTGACAGAACAAGCGCACATGCAGTAAACACCCATTCATTCAGTACTACAGCCACAGTTTAACATTTAGGAGGTTGTAAAAAGAAATGTAATATAAAAGCTTTGCCCTTTCATAGCTAACAGCTTTGGTCTCTCATTTTCCATTTCAAGCGTAAGCACGGCGGCCATAAAGGCTCTTCCCCACAATAGGATCTGAGTCATTTTTAAGCTCTAGTGAAACCAAAAAAAAAAATGAAGTCAACTGTGATCATGTGTGTAAGTTGCCAGTTTTGGAGATGCAAATTACTGTAAATGATAGTATTAGCCAGCCAGTGAGTTGTTTTACGCTTCGTAGCACTGATCATGGGGTTTTGCTGTTACAATCCGAGACCTGGCAATGGGCTGCTGCAGGGTCACAGCAGTAATCTGTTCTATTACAAGGTCTGAGATTCAGTGACACTGTCCAGGCCCCCACCCACGTTTACAGCCTTTTAGTCCAACAGTCTTGTGTAATTCATCCTTTCATCTCTCTGACAGACAGAGCCAGATTATGCAGTAGTCTGCACGGTTGCTTTGATGAAGCAAAACAAAAACCCCACAAAAAAAAAACAAAAAACTGAATAGTGGAGTGGTGAGAGGAGCGTCTTGAAGCCTAGTGGCTTTTAACACTGCAATGTACGTCATGATGATGATGATGACTGACTCCAGCACTGGCCAAAAATGAATCTGACGAATTTGGTTTAAAAAGGTACAATAATCCACAGAAGATTAGAGTGTGCATATGATCTGTACTTGAAGATACCAATAAGACGCAGCCAAATATTGGTGAATGTCAGATTCTTTGTTTTGGAGACGGTTAAAGACATAACCTTTGTTACGGAACAAAAACCGATAAAATATATATTTTACAACGCATTGAAATATAATTGAAAAGAAAGCAAATGAAACGATAAAAAATCACTCATAAATTTAATTTTAGGGCTTTTACATAGAATTAAAAAAACAAGTCCCATTCAGTCTTTATGACCTTGTTTTTCTTCAAGACGACATAAAAACGTTATTTAAAATCAGTGACAGCATGCTTCCAGTAAATGAATTATTTCTTGGACATTTTAAGGTGTTTGGACACTTTCCAAGGAATATATTATCAGAGGCAACCATAAACTTCTAAAGGTGTTGCTTTGTCTTACATACTGTACAGCTCATCCAATGCACTTAATGGAAGAAATAACAATGTTGTAAAATAAATGTCCTGTATTTGACCCTTGGTTTCTTTTGTTTTCTTTTTTTACCCCTTCAGAACTAAGAACAAAATCTCACAGCAGGTTTCTCTCCCTCACAGCAAAAACAATTGTTCACGTACGTTTTGTGGGTCATTTGGTACTGTACAGCAGAAAATAACCCTGTAATTTCCCTGTAGTTTTTTTTTTCAAGACATCTTGAAAATCTCTCGATGCCTGTCAAAATCGCCAAATAAAATGTCGACATGAAATTTGCCTTTTCACGTTTCTTTTCAGAGGTGCTTTGGCCCAGAGGCAATGTCATGGATGGATGGATGGATGGATGGATGGATGTTTCTTTTCAGAGCACTGAAGTGCTTTGCACAAAGCACATGTTTGATTTTTTCCACCATTTAAAATATGTGTTTGACTCCCACATCCATACATGGAGTTCTGTTTGCGGTGCTCACAGGCCTGAAGAGTCTTATTGAAAAAGTAACGTGACACCTTGAAATCCTCAAACCTCATTGTTAACAGTTTTCTTTGGAACAGTTCTCTACCTATGAGGCCTGTAAACAGGGAGGTCACAGTGAGGTCTGGAATATCAAGGGTAACTGACACATTATTCCTGGCAGGCGCTGTTGCTTTTTAATTCAGTTACCACTGAAAACAAAAGTCCAACTCCTGTTACAGTATCAAAGTGAAGTCAAAACCTTGGCAAAGACATATAAATAAAGACAAACTGGTGTGCTCGCATCTGTCATTAATTAGAGCATAAACTTCAGTCTAAGTTTTTTTTTCTCTATACCTGGGGTTGTGGAACTGGTGAAGGTGAAATCAAAATACCAGAAATTTGCAAAAACAAGTTTGCTCACCAACATCACTACAAGTTATCTCTCGTAAATTCCCAGTCAACCTCATACCCCGTAAGTTAAGAGTAGAGCAGTGTGGATGCCAGTGTATTCATGCCTGTACACCACCATGGCTCTGAGCCCTAGCCCACTGAAAGCTGCCCTGCCTCTGAGGTGTTGGGTAAACAGGACTGGTGTCAACAAAAAAAACTAACTACCGGATATACTTGTTGTTTAACTTGCCCGAGCCAATAACCAGATCCTTCCACTTCCTGGTTGTGAAGTGGCATCCTTCACTGGAGCTCCGTCTTCACACAAATCAAACCTGGGTTTGGAAAAATAACCTGGACCTGTTGGAAATTGAAAGTCTAAAGAAGCGGCTAAAACAGATAGCTTTGGAGATTTCTAATGTCATGTAGGATCAAAATGTATAATATTTTAAATGTTGTGATTTTGGTTAAAACAATTACCCTATGTGGCGCTTTGGCCCAGAGTCAATGTCTCTGTCATTGGTGTGGAACCCCAGGGTTCACCTCCTGGGCAAGTTAGGGTGGTTGGTACCTTCCAGTGGACTCACCACCCGCAATCTGATGATTAAAGTGTTCCTAGCGGAGAATGTGTTTGTTCATCACTGCAGCCTCTGTGTTGTCAATTCACTTATGTAACGAAGTAATACCTCTTACAGGAACAATGGCTGTGAGCCTTTGTAACGTTTAATACCCCGAATTGCTAATTAGCAGTCATCTGCACTCTGTAAACGTGCCTGACCTTTTTCCTGTAATAAGTGACACGTCAGAGGTTCAGTCTATTGAGGCCCTCATGGTATGAACTGGGATCTGACCCAGAGCTGATGGATTGTGGATCTAATCCCAGACAAGTCCCAGGACAGGTGAACTGAGAGAGAGCCTTTTTTTTCAATCTGTCTTGGCGGGGGAAGAGAAACGATATTGTTTTAGTGTGTGATAACTACCAGTAGTGTTTCTTAATCATTCCTTAAATATCAGATCGTCATTCTTTTTCTTCCTCTGCTCCCTGCATTATATTATGTTTCTTCTTTGCTAGTTTGAGTTGAGAGAACCTGACGTGTGTTTTCCTTGGACTCTGAGTTTGACTCTACGGATATTCTACCCTTTGTCTAAAAGCCAAACTCAGGGTCAACTAAGTGCACTGTAACAAAGGTGCTGACTAGAGACAGAATAGAGAAGGTGCTACACTGTAGACTTGGTCTCCTTAATAAGCCACACCACTTTAAATTGTTCTTCCTCATTACTTGGGTGTAATCTTGGTTTGTACCTGCAGATGGAGGTATTCCCATGATAAGTGTCATATCACCTCAGTACTTTATGAAGAACTATGACAGTATCAGAATGAGGAAAGAGGATGGGACAGTTCAGTTGCTCCTGTATGAAGTAATAAAGTGTTACTTCAGAATC